TCATTACTTTGAATCTTGCTTTGCCTATCGTTTCTTTGAGAAATTCAAATGAAGGTTTGAGAGAAATGGACAGATCTTTCATGGTTATGGAAGGAGGATTTTCATGGTTATGGTGGAGGAACAAATTGTAATTTTCATGGATTTAAGGGTTGCCGCCGATCCAAATATTAAATATTGGTCTTGCCTAATTTTTCCATGGATTAATGTATGTGTATTCTTCGTTTTGTAGTTTTACTTTTCCTATGTATAAGCTGGCTTCTTGCTGAGATGAGAAAGTCACATTCGACATTGGCAGCTTGAAGATGCCCAGCCGGTCCGGAAGAAGTCATATTCATACATTTGATAAGGGAAGTCACAGTGATTGGGGGCCGGCGTGGGGACAAAAAACGTCACAGACAACATTAAAGCCTAAACTGAATATTTAAAATTGATTAAATTAATCATTTAACATGAAAATCAAACAGTTATGCTATACTTAGTAAAATTATAAATTTATAATCATAAAATAATATTAAATAAGTATGATTTATTATTAAATAAATAGATATATATAATATTAAAGTTAAGTTTTAAATAAAAAATTAATTATATAATAATACATTACATTATAAATTTATAAAATTATGTGATATTATACCTATAATAGTTTTAAAAATTAAAATAGAAGAGATCAAGATTCAGAAGTATAATTGTAAAAACAGGGAGGGAGAGAGATTCGTTTACAGCAAAGTAAAAATGAACAAAGATTTAATTGTAACAAAATAAAGATTACAGACTGAATTGAAACTTCATTAAGAAATTGGAGATAAATATATAATTTTCAAAACCGTAGGTGTACAAGTTCCTTTCTTGTAGTTTCTAGGTTGAACTGAGTACTAAACTGAAGCGCGAACTGCCGCCTTCCGGAGTAAGGAGCAAGATGAGCAGCCGGCGGGGTCCGCCGAAGCACCAAAACCGCTACGCCTGGAAGTCAAACTCCGGCAAAAAGATCAACGAGACGGTAAATATCATCATATTAGTTCTTTTGCTTCTCAAAATCAGAAAAACGCATTCGATTTTCGGTGCCAAAAACAGTTGAATCGCCAATACTTTAGCTTGTATTCTTTGTAGGAAGTAGGAGGAAAGTTCAAGCCGTACTCGGAGATCACCGGAGTCTGCCATCGCTGCAGAGAACAGATCGACTGGAAGCGCCGTTACGGAAAATACAAGCCCCTCACCGAGCCTGCCAAATGGTATCTTTATTATTGCTTTTCTGTTTTCTGCAAACGCTTTCTTGCTTTTGGAATTCAAAATGCTCTCTTTTAAAAAAAAAAAAAATCAGTTTTGCAGTGTTGAATCGTTGCTTGTAATTAATCATTTGGTTTTCTTAATTTGTTTGCAGTCAGCAATGCTCGAAGCGTAATGTTCGTCAGGCTTATCACAATCTATGTTCTGGTTAGTTTTGGTTATGATTTCTGACTTCTGATTAGCTTTCTTTTGTTTAATTGAAAATTCTCTTTGAAAATTTGCTTGCAGACAGTTTAATATTAATATTAAATTGAGCAATTTTTATTTTGTTGATTTGGCCTCTTATTTTTTTCTTTTCTTTTTTTTTTTAATGTTTAATGTTTATGCTAGTCTAGCTTTTTTGGAGGAACAAAAAATATATGTGGAGGCTGGGAGGTGTTTGTTTTGATAGGAAAATTATTTTAAGACAATTTTACCCTTTAATGTTGATTTAGTCATTGACTGAATTATGGTTTTAGGCTGTGCTAAGGAACAAAATGTATGTGCAAAGTGTCGTTGTTGTGTGGATCAGATAATTGGAAGGTTGGTCTTTTCTTATACAAAGCTTTATGATAACTTGAGGAAATTGCTTATGCTTGATCTGTTTTAAATTTTAGGGACTCTGCTGAAGTAGAGGCTGAGCAGAAAATGCTTGAGGAGGTTTGTTTGGATTTTGTTGATTGAGTTTGCATTTTGTTTTGTAATTTCTATGTGATTGTTTAGTGTTGTTTCCGCATGGAAAACTAATTTTGAAAATTTTTTTTGACAGGCAATCAAAAATGCTCGAGAGAGGGACAGGAGAACTTTGTTAAGAGCTGTAAGTTTCACAAGACACAGATAATTCTCTTCTAGTACCCCCAACTCAGCCCTACTTTTTCTTTTCTTTTTTAAGTTTGATAGAATGATCATCCTCTCTTTTTAAATTGCAACTTTAGTACAATTTAAATTTCCTTAAAAAACCTAACATAAATACAGTAAAAACTTAGAATCATTAACTAACAATGGTAAAGGACTTAAATTTTCATTAGCTTTAAATTTCAACATGAAAGATTCACAAGTTGTCCTTATTGTATTTTAGTGCTGTCTAGTAGATATAATTTTTAACTTTAACCACTCATTGATGAACTTCAGTGAGCTAAGTTCTTTAGGATGTAATAATAAGTGCCTCATGTCACACAACCAATCACTTTGGTGAATAAGAGAGGAGTACCGTTGTACTCCAAATTAATAAAATTAACTTTGGTTGATCAAAATTTAAAAAAAAAAAAAAAAGAGAAGAAGAAGTTTGGTGAATAAGAGTATGGGGGGCCTAGATGTTTGCAACTTCAATATCATACGAGCTAGTAGCTGGAGAGCAACTTGATATTGGGATTAAGTTTCTTCAAATTACAATGCAAATTGCAGTACAATTTTGAAGGAAAAAACTCAGCTGTAAAGGGTGATTCATTCAATCATGAGCATTATCATTGAGGAAAACTGAATAGCATCATTTAAGGCACATGTGGGTTTCACTACATTTCTTATCTGCTCAATTGTAGATCCTGTGACTATTGACAAGTTTTAGATTGCTAAAGCCTCTCATTGATTATGAAATTGCAATTTCCACCATAAAAGATTAGGCATTTTTTGGTAATGTTTTGTTTTTGTTCATTATCGTGTTTGATAAATACCATATTAGGTATGATAACTACTCTTTAGCAGGGAAAAATTCTTCAGCAATACACATCCTCTTCAATTCTCTCTCCATATTTTGCACTTAATTATTCTTTTCAGTGCTGAATATTGACATTTTTACTGTAACAGATGAACAAAGATAAATCTAAAAGTTCAGGAAAAGTCACAACCAACAAAGAGAATGGTCGGGTGGGTGAGTTGTTCCCTGAGACATCCCTTGAAGAATATGCTAAGCAAAATATAAAAGAACATCATGTCAATCATGATGACGAAAATGATGATCATTGTGATGACAATTATGATCGTGATTATGATAGTGAAGCAACCTATAATGAAGATCTTGAGGATGGTGAAAATAATGAAGATGAACAAATTTTGAACTAAGATGGGTATGGGTTATGTTTCAAGATCTTTTCTTCTGTGTTTCCCTAATGATTATTTTTATGTTCCGCAATTAACTTATTTCTTTGCCTTTTTGCTGTGGCAGATGGGATATAATATAATATTATATTCTAAGGGATAACAGAGTCTCTTTTTTGCGGCAATGAAGATGATGATCGTTTCAGTTCAGTCCAAGCCTAATGCAATGAACTCTTGCTTCCTCTCGTTAATTATACTTGGGGAAGAGATCTAGGAGTCTAGATCACCATCACAAACTCCTTTTTTCTAAGTTTTCTTTCCTGGATCTACTTGTAATCCTCCATCTCTCACATAAATTGAGTACGTCCGGGTCATGTGATTCGCCTCTTTTGTTTCAAGAAGTTTCAATTCACTTATTTTTGTCAGATTTTTTATTTCTGAAAAACAGCCTTCCTGTAACCTTGCTGGTGACAGTTCTCTCTTGCTGTTACTGATTATAAATGTTAAATTCCCTCTCCACTTGAAATGTGTTTTGGTTCAAAGTTGGAAAATTCTTCCAACGCAAGAGTAACAGCTCATTGCTTCATCTGCAGTTAATAGCTCATACAAGCCACCCATGTAACTGCTGAAATAATCATCTTCGAGTTTTTCGAAAAAGAAGAAACTCTCTTCTCAAGTTAGCTGCTACTTTTTGCTAGTTTAAAGAAATTGGTACGCAAGTTAACTATCTAGGGAATACCAAAAATAATTAGAGAAAAGAATAATCAAGAAATCCAAGATCAGTCCATGGTCAACGGTTCTGAGATCCAATGAAAACCAATTGTCCATCTACTCGTTCATGAACTGGAAGAGAGAACACTTCAAAAAATGCAGAGACAGAAAACTATCAAATCTCTGAAATGCCCCTCGGGCTGCACCATTGCTATGCTGTGCTCGCTTTGTTTTGTTAGCATCCTAACAATCTTAATCTCAAGTCCTAACATTGCCTTCCCTTGTTTGTTCTTCGGCACAGCCACGACAACGGCCTCCGTCAGTCTCTCTCTTGTTGACTCAATTTTCAGACGTTCTCTCCACAGCCAAATATCCGGTTTACAGAGCCAAGTTGGCATTCTGCTTGAGCAGCTGCATACAGAAAGTTCAGAATCAAAGGTGCTAGCAAAATTCTCCAGCCAAGTCCTTCAGATTGCCATATCCTTAAACAAGCTTGCAGACGGCTTATCCGGTCTCCATGGTAGCAGTGCTTCTCCCTCTAGCAATGAATTAAGCAGCATCCATGAAGACTTAACTGAAACAGAAGAAACTGACGACGAAGAAGGATCAACCCAGGGGATGGTTTTCAGGTTAGGTGAGCTGAGGAATTATACTTCATCGAAACCAAGTAGGCTAAGTGGGAAGAAGAGTTTCCTAGGAGTGGAGTCTATCAACCCATCAATTGGTTTAGCTTGTGCTGGAATGGCCACAAATGTAGATCGTTTCATGAGCTACAAGATCTATGGCATTTGCCCTGATGATTGGGACATTGCTCAGAAGCTAATCCTCAATGGCTGCGATCCACTGCCCAGAAGAAGATGCTTTTCAAGAACACCACCTCGTTACAC